TATATATATATATATATATATATATATATATATATATATATATATATATATATATATATCGTCATAACCATCGAGTAATCGAGAACGATGTTCGAAAGCAGTCGTGATAGTTTGACAATTTGAGATTTAGTTCGCGCAAGTTAATGTTTGCCGTTCATATATTATGCATAATTGCATAATTGTGCAAAAGATTAATAGAGTGATATACTCTTTCTATTCCCTTACTCTTCTTTTTTTTTATAATGCTTGTTGGAAAATTTACCTATTATTCATATGCCAGCTTTTTCAAATATACTTTTACTGTATTGTATCATCTTCCTACTGATTATTCGTAACGCATGAGCGGATAAATTTTACGTGAACTAACCCACACAATACAACGTCTAAAATCGGGATATAAGACATCTTAAAGCCGTTTTAAAGACGTCTTATATTCCGACGTCTGACAGACGTCTGTAAAACGTCTTTTAAACGTTATGTCCCGATTTTAGACGTCATGTTGTGTGGGAAGTTTCAAATTGTCAAACTATCACGGCTGCTTTCGAACATCATTCCTGATTCCTTGAATACTCGATGGTCATGATAAATGTACACGTAGAAAGGCACATGGTTGGTTCAAAAAATATCTAGTAACTCTAGATCCAGTAAATGTGTGTGTTCAGACATTAATGAAGCCATATATACCGCTATTCCTTTTACACGGTATAAAGCACAATATAGCATAGGACAATCGCAGAATGTGAATATACATATACATCGAGGAAATATTAGCTCGCGATTTAGCAGTCGGGCGTACAGCTGATACGATTGAAATCTAATGTCGCGACTGCGGGAATCAATCATCGTATAATTCAGCGAGACAAGAAGGATGCGAGTGATAATTTTTCACCTCGGATAAGCCCGTGAGAGAACAGAATACGCAGAAGGACGCGAGGGAATGCATGCTACTCCTCGACGGTGCAGCGTCGCCGGATAATAAATCGATAATTCGTGTGTACGACTTCCGACCCTGGGAACAAGCGAGCCGAACAAAATAGCTCCGCGTGTATCGGCGATGTGCTTCTTTTTTTTCTCTCTCTCTCTCTCTCTCTTTCTTTATCCATCGGCGCTATGATCGGTTTGTCTCCGTTTGCCCTCGATTTACCTTCGATTATGCCGGACGAACACAGGAATTTCTCAGGTCTACATCGAACATGTTGCCGGAGAGCCGAAATGGAGAGATAGACGCGAACTGTTTCTTTTATGGCGCGCGATATCGGCAGCTGCTATTTCTCGAGCGCGAGAGCTCCGCCAATCTATATTTCAAACGTGCGAAATTTCCAAGATTTTCCGCCGAACTCTTCCGCCGAAGTTACCTGAACTTCTCGCCGCGGCCATGTTGTCACCGTCGCTACTCCGCCGATCCATTTTCCACAAATACTTTATTACTGATCCTCACTTTTTCTTTTTATTCTTTTGTGGCGAGACGCCACTCGAAACGTGCAGTCTTTGCGTTTTCGCGTGCAATCGTTGTCAAATGTTGCTGAATTATTTAGAGGCGACCCGGAAGCTACGGCGCGAGGCCATTTGACTTTTATCCCTTTACTCATTTGATAACCTTTGAACTACTTGCCGTGCTCGAGCGCCACAGCCGTTATTTTTAATTTTACAAAGGGATTATGTTGAAACAGATATTATTAACCGTTCGCTGTAAATAACGCGAACTCACATTGTCGACGCGACTCTCAATTACTTTTTGTGCGTGTTACAAGTTTACGTCTTTCGACGCATTCACTACATTCAGGGTGTCCCGGATTACCTTCACAATCTCTCGTAAGGACGTAGAGTTGATTGACATGAAGACAAAAGTCCCATACCGTTTTGCGATATTCACAATAATAGTCAAGATATTAATGAAAAAAGATTAGTGAATGATCACGCGCGATGTGGTAGATGAGCTGCAGTGGCACCATCTGCCGCTGTATATTTATATATGAAGTCAAACTGAATAAAAAAGTCCTCTACCATTTTGCAAATGATCATATAGATTTTTAGATATTAATTAAAGAAAATTGTTACATGATTGTGTATCATAATTATGTATCACAAATTTTCTATAATTAATATCTAAAAATCTATGTGGTCATTTGCAAAATGGTAGAGGACTTTTTTGTTCAGTTTGACTTAATGTATAAATATACGACGGCAGACGGCGCCACTGCAGCTCATCTACCGTATCGCGCGTGATCATTCACCAATCTTCTTTAATTAATATTTTGATTATTATTGCCTGTATATGTTTGTAAGATAACACTCGGCTGTATTTCTGTTGTGGAAAAAGCGTGATTATCATTACGCTCTCAATCCCTGCACGGAAAAAGAAAATCTGCTACATGTGGACAACTAAACATAATTTGCTGTATTAACCACTTTTTCTTTGCTGCAGGAGTCAATTTCCTTGCTATGATAACAAGAAAATCTGTTCCTGCAACAAAAAAGTAGCTAAAGCAATAAATTATGTTTAATTGTTCATCTGTAGCAAATTTGCTACGTTAGCCACTTTTCTTGCTGTAGGAGCAGATTTTCTTGTTATCATAGCAAGAAAATAGGTTCCTGCAGCAAAGAAAAAGTAACACCATAATAACGAATTATATTTAACTGTCCATATGTAACAAATTAGTTTGCTGCTGTAGCAAATTATTTTTTCGTATGTATAACGAAACGTTACTCGCTGCTCTCTCGTGCATTTCCGTGTATTTATCCTCTAATTATTTTCTGCCGTTTCGTCGTCGAACAGCTGATAGGCGCCCTTGCCCTTTACTCTCGTTCTATTGTTCGTCTTTTCTTTTATCGATATGTTCCCTCTATGTTAGATCTTATGTTCACGACGACAAAATGTTTGGCGAACATCAATCAAAGGTATATGCCACTCAGGATCTCCTTTTCGCGTTTTATTCCTTTTTTCTCTTTTCCGCTAATCCCGATTCTGATTCTGGCATCTCTTATCTCGATTTGCAGAAAAATGAAGCTCGACCTGGACCGGGAGAAGGGCCTCGAGCTCTTCGGCAAGCTGATACGTACAAAGAACGTCGAAAGTCTTCAGGGTGACCAGCCCAAAACCGGTCCCGAGCCACTTCATCCAGCCAACTCCAAGCAAAAATTACAGGTAACAGCGATACAGCGAAAATAATTATTTGTAAAGACTTTAAAGATATCAGTATGAGTAATTGGTCAACAAAAACTAGTAGTTGGATATTACGCGCAATAATTTAATATACCTGAATAGAATTTCTTACATGGAAAACGTATTTGTTTGGATTAACCAAATGTCTGGTAAATATGAACGAACTAGAATTCTGGTTAAAGCTGCCAGAATTCTATTCAAGTTAACAAGATTCTAATTAACTGCAATTGACGACGGAAACTTTACAATTATTTTAATTATTTATGAGGCAAATATATATACACAAATATATACTGTATTAAATTAATCATTAAATATACATCATATAGTGATGTAAATTCTGTGTTATATCCACAATATAATGTTATGTTGTGTTATGTTGTATTATGCAGCAACAAAAATATATTAAAGGTTACACTCAGATTTTTATATGAAATTTTATATGATATATATATATATATATATATATATATATATATATATATATAATACATATTATTTCGAGCGAATTTTGACCATTTTTTCATATTTCTTTCACATTTCTGTTTCGTCATTTTATGTAGTGAATATCAATATTATATAAATAATTGATAAGAGACGCATTCTTTACAAATCGAGTAGTAAAATTGCTGTTAAACTTACGCACATTTGTCTAAATGGACCAAATAAGTTTTTTTATATTTATTATAATGTAAGACAATCGCGATGATAAAAGATTTTTTAAATTGTATTTAGAGAGCAAATATATTAAATTTAATTAATCATCACATTTACATAATACAAATAATAATATAAATTTTTTTCTTATATCGATGTGTAATAACAAATTTATTAAATTAAAATTTATTAAATTAAAAGTTATATTCAGATCTTTATAACATTTTATATTATGTATCGTTTTGAGTAAATTTTGTAAATTTTTCATGATTTTTCCGCATTTATATTTTGTTATTTTATATAATAAACATATCAGTGTTATATGAATTAATCATAAACGCAATTTTTATAAATCGGTTAGTAATGTTGTTACCAAATCTATTTGGCCCAAATAGATTTTCATATTTATTACAAGATGAGAAAATTAATAATGGGAGAACTCTATAACTTTTTCAATTATATTTATGAAGCAAATATACGGAATTAATCATTACATTATAAAATAATGTAATTTCTTTGTTATATCGATACAGCAATAAATTTGCTAAAAGTTGCACATATATTTTCCATATCGAATTTTATATGATATATTGCTTTAAACAGAGTTTGATAATTTCTTAACTATTTCTCCTTTGTATTTCTCTTTCGTCAATCCATATAATAAATGAATGTTATATGAGAAAGAGAATTACATATAAGGGACGCAATATTTAATCAGCTGGTAAAGTTATTGCCAAATTTTTATGCACGTGTCTATCTGAATAATAGTGACAGAATAAAATTGATAATGTAGCGTACACACAAAAAAGCACATATTGCATTCAAGTAAATATTACTTTGTTTCAAGTATTTCTTAAATTTATACATCTGCAAATTTATTATAAATTTTTTCAGTTAATAAGTCAAGAGTCTTTAAAAGTTTATACATGAATATGTAATAAAATAATTTTTTCTATTTGTGTATAGGACCTTTGACTTATTAATTGATTTGATACCAGCAAAGCTTTTTTATTAGAATTTTGCAATATCATAAATTCATATCATGAGTATCAAATTTATTAGAAATACATTCTGAATCCTTAAGTTTAGTATTTCAATCAAGATTATTAAATTAAAACAAAAATTTGGTTTACTTACGCAGAGCTGAATCAATATTTTCTTCGTAAAATTTTATAATAATCTGATAAAGAGAATGAATTCTTTTTTTCTTTTAGTACACGATAATGAACTTTTCTAAAATTAACGAGCACATTTGAAGACTATTATTAAGAAGATATCCTTTATTGAAGATAACTATTATTTAGAAGAAGGAAAGTAAACTGAATAATCGCTTTTCTTAGTAATAGAATAATGTTTTTTCATATGTACGCGCTAGTATTTTCCTTAACTTTCTACATACATAAAAATTTTTCTCAAAAAATTGCCTTTTTCATTACGAAAATAATCCCTTATGATAAGAAACAGCAACTAAAACACGACAGCAGATTGAATAATTTAAGTAGTTCGCGTGCTCGTGGCTATCGAGAACCCGACTTGATTTCCGTGTTCCGTTCAGTTTTATTGCGCGGTACGGCAAGGTGTCGGCGATCTCGTGAGGGAATTATCGTCGTGCTTGGAAAATTGCGAATAATCGAGAACGACCGACGTGCGTGGGCGGTGAATTTAATTAAAGAGGCCGACGTTTAATAGCGCGCGTCGCTCCTAATTATCAATTAGAGCACGGCGTTAACTTTTCAGGGTGGAAAATGAGGGAGGTCGCGTCACCCTCATTTTCTTCAATGGTCGGGGATACGGAAATCCACGACTTTCATTAATTTGACAACCACAAATTGCGATACCTGTAAATAACTTTCCCGTAAGAATAATTTCGTGTCCAAATGCGCGCGCGAACGAACAAGGGAGCAATTGCGCGGCATTTCAAAAGACCATGAGTAAAATGTGCCGATTTATGTCTAAAAAGTGTAACGTAAGTGATACATGTATAGTAGGAATCGTATACATTTCGCCAGTACGGAAAAATGGCCCGATACTGGGTCGATATCGAAAAGCGGATGTCCAGTTTTGGTACTGGCTCAGTACTGGGCCTAATATAAAAAACTGTATTATTAGTACTGGCTCCGTACTAAGGTTAGGTACTGGATAGTCGTATTGTACGTGTACTGCGGCGTTACCGAAAAGTGTTTGTCATTTTCAGTACTGGCCCAGTATTTAAAAAACTGTATTATTCGTACTAGCCCTGTTCGTAGAATCAGTACTGGATACCCAAGTAAGAATAGTATATAATCTGCTAATAGAGGATATTGGGCCAGTATTATGTTGGTACCAGATAGTTCGTGAAATTTGAATAGAGTGATTATAATCTCGAATATTAATCCTGTTCCGATCGGCCTTCTGGCATTGATGACAATATAGTGCGCAATTTAGTGGATACTAATTCACGAATTTTAACACAAGGCTGCTGAACAGCTACACATCGACAAATTGGTATTTCGACATTAAAAAACCTAGATACAATTTAAAGCTCGATGTGGGGTGCTATATAATCTAACAGAAAAGAATAAAATTGACCGAGTCTTGACGGTCAATGCCTTGTTCGGCCAAAATCGATCCGAATCGATTAGTGATGGGAGATAAAGGGTGAACTCAAGTCTATATGGTGAGATTGCAAAGGTGCGATCTTTTATGAGCTGCTTCCCGTTAAAATATAATCAATTCCGATAAGTATCGTCAACAATTTGACGATTTAAAGACAGCAGTTGAAGAAAAATATCTGGTTTTGACTAAATGGAAAAATGTTCCATTACAACAACTAGATCTTACCCTCGATGTAAATGCAACGCAAGGTGCTAAAGTGGAATAATCTATTACATCCATCGTATTTTTCTGATATTGCTCTATCAGATTATCATTTATTTCGATCATTACAAAACAGTTTAGACAGTAGAAAATTCACTTTTTTTTCACGTTTTCACGTTTCTTCATTTTTAGACGAAAAACAGGCTTTTATGATAGAGGCATACAAATGCTACCAAACATCGACAAAAGATAATAGAAAACAATGGGGATTACTTGGTAGAAAAAGAATACATTGTTTTTAATAAAATTACTTTGTTAATTTTTCTACTACGAAATCTATCAAAACTTTTAAACTTACCTAATATGTATATAAGGTTATTATCATTAACATTAGAACTTGCATATTAACAGAAGAATTTAATTAAAAAAAATAGTTTTTTTACTATATATGTAATTATAGTTACAAATACCAAACATTTTTTTCTCGATGTGAGATTGTATGAACGCCATTTTTTTGATTGTATGAACACGGATGGACCGAGCAGTTTGAGGGCGTAACGAGCGCAAACGTTCGGGGTGGAAAAAAGAGATTCTCCGCTGGAAATTTGTTATTTCCACAGATCCGACGGCCGGACAGCCTCTAATTTCTCAACGAGAGAAACGCCGGTTCTGCGGGTTGTATCCCAGCGGTTATTCGCCGCAGTAATTCTGGGTGCTTTCCAGTTGCTTAACACATCTTGACACATATGTACACAGAAATGCACAAAGTGTAACGTTGTGCACGATTCAATTGGAACAAAGTGTGTACTAATGCGTACGTATGTCGGGTAGAGTTAGGATTATTTTTCAACTGTGCTTGTATTTTGGTATTATTTAATAATAAATAATAAAATCTAAATAATAAAAAAGATATTATCCACTTCACGTCGCGAATGCCAGTCTCTTTTCAAGCCGCTACGCTTATTAACTTTAATTGTCACTAGAAAACACTAGTTTATACAGCTGACCAGTAGCCCTCGAGCTGAGTACGGATGTGTAGTGTTGTGTCGACGATTACAATTGAAATGCAACTTGTATCGCCGTGTGCATGAAAGTGTGGTAATTATGTAGAATAAGGACTTTTCCAAATTTTAATATTTTTTGCTGCAATCTTGATAAATATCTTTGTTGTTATTCCAATATTGATAATCAAGTGGGAGAGTCGAAAAGTACGTAACCTTTCAATGTTTTTAATTATTTTTTCCTACGTAGCTTTTCGGGGTTTGTGGCATCTCCATTTCAATTTGTGATTGTCAAACTTTAAGTTAAGTAACTTTAGCTAAAGTACAACAGACTTGCGCCCCCCCCCCCTGGGGGGTCTGGGGGGCGTAGCCCTCCAGTTATACGGCTAGGGACAGGCACTTTTTTTATTTTTTACCATATTTCAGTAATATAAACATGGCTATATGGCGGTCGCTTATAGTTTCCGAGATATTAATAAAAAAGATGCCTGTCTCTAGCCGTGTAACTGGGGGGAGTTACGCCCCCCA